TTCACTAAATCAATGGCAAAGCAGAGATGATTGTCAGATATTTCCTGGGAGTTATGATGAGCTGCCAATAAAAGACTTAACTTGTGACCATGGTGTAACTGAAGCATCTCTGGTTTTGGTGCGGAAGTCCTAATGCTGAATATGAACTCTCTTACCAACTGTATGACTTTAGGTAGTTAACTAATATTTACCAAGTCATATATCCTTATTTTGTAACATAAGATCATCATTACAGTGGCTTCCTCACACTGTGGTGGCAAAGATTCAACATGATAATAGATACTAAGTTGCTTTACAGTTGCAATGCTCTGTATAAAGTATGGTATTTGCTGTTTCTTATTCTCCCATTCTGTTAAAACCAGAGATGCTCTCAGTTAAGTCAGTTCACAGTGTGATTTAGACGATGCTATGCCCTCCTCATGCCGACCAACAGCCTTGCAGGCTCAGCAGGGAGAGATGCTGCCCTGCAGCGTCCTCTGCAGGGCGTCCTTCACCTCCTTGTTCCGGAGGCTGTAGATGAGGGGGTTGCGCATGGGAATTATGACGGTGTAGAAGACAGACACTATCTGGCCACTGGTATCATCAGTGGGTCCATGAGGTTGGACATAGGTGAGGATCACAGTGCTGTAGAAGATGGCAATGGCCAGGAAGTGGGAGGCACACGTGGAGAGGGCTTTCTCCTTCCCAGCTGCCGAGCGCAGCCTGCCGACGGCCACCAGGACCAAGCTGTAGGAGGTGAGGATGAGGGCAGCAGGCAGAAGGGTAGCCAGAGCAGATGAAATATAGAGGACCAGTCCTGCTGTAGCTGTGTTGGCACAAGCCAGGCGGAGAAGGGGTTTGATGTCACAGAAGTAGCGTGTTACGTGGTTGGGCCCACAGAAGGGCAGGGCGAAGACATTCCCGGTCTCAATAGCGGAGTTAGCTCCACCAAATGTGTAGGAAGCAGCCACCAGCTGGAGACAGGTTCCCTTGGTCATGACAGAGCTGTAATGGAGGGGTCGGCGGATGGCCACGAAGCGGCCATAGGCCATGGAGGCCAGCAGGAAGCTCTCAGCTGTTGCGTGCATCACAAAGAAGGTCATCTGGACCACACAGCCCTCAAAAGAAATGGACTTGTCAGAGGCTAGAAGGTCGACCAACAGCTTGGGTGTGACGATGGAAGAGTAACAAATATCAAGAAAAGAGAGGACACTGAGAAAGAAGTACATGGGGCTGTGGAGACGGGAGTCTGTGAAGATGAGCGCCATCATTCCCAGGTTGCCCACCACTGTCACGGCATAGACGAGCAGGAAGCCTCCGAAAAGAAGCACCTGGAGGTCTGGATAGCTGGAGAATCCCAGCAAGATGAACTGGGTAACTGGGCTGTGGTTGCCACTGGCAAGAGCTAGTTCTCCAGGTGCCATCTGCGGAGGTGACAACTGTTAGTCTCTCAGGCAGTATTCCTTGGGCATGCTCCCCTGTGCAAGGCACGATGAGGAGCACACCAAGCACCTATACGGCTTCTTCTGCAAGAAGGTAGCGGGAAGTGTCGTGCCATAGTGGACAGGACCTGGGCTGTGAAGCCAGACAGACCCAGGTCTTAATTCTGACTATGGCACTAACTAGCTGAGTATTCCCGGATAAGCTGTATCTATGAGCCTTAGTTTTTGCATCTGTGAAATGGGGAAAATACACCTACTTCTCAGGGTTGCTGTGTGGCCTAAATCAAAGAATGAATGTAAACCATCAGAATGTCTGGGACACAGCAGGTGATCAGTAAATGTGAGGCCACTCCTCCAGTCTCTTGTGCCTGTATCTATAAACATGCTCGTGACTGTGTTTAAGAATTATTTCATTCTGTCCTTTAAAAAATCAAGGTAAAATTCACATATCGTAAAACTGATCATTTTAGAGTGTACAATTCCGTCATTGTTTGCAGACTCACAATGTTGCACAACATCCCCACTGTTTAATCACAGAACATTTTCATCACCCAAAAAAGAAATCTCCACACCCATTAGTAGTCACTCCCCATTCTCCCCTTCCCCCAGCCTCTGGCAACCATGAATCTACTTTCTGTCTTTGAATTTGCCTGTTCTGGACATTTCATATAAATTGATTTGTACAATATATGGTCTTGGGTGCCTGGCTTCTTTTGTTTAGTGTTTCCAAGGCTCATCCATGTTGTAGGATGCACCACTATTCATTTTGTCGTGTACTTGGACATCGTCAGGGCATCCACTGCTCTATATTATAACCATTTTGTGCTCTGACAGGCTGTTGAGTTAAGTGTCACCTGGGAGATCATCAGCTTGGACGTGGTGTTTTCCAGTTTCCTCCCTTGACTGTCCTCCAAGATGTTTTTCCACACGAGGAACTGAAATGCCCAGAGGCCTTACTTTCTTCCCCACACTGCCCTCTCTCTTCGGCTCCTCATATCTCTCTTCATTGAGAGTTTGGGCTACAGCCTATAATCAGTCCTGGGAAAACCCCTTCATCCATGCCAAGCAGGCAGTATAGACGACAAGGAGGAAATGTGTCGTCACATCGCAGAAGAACACAGGACAGCCTCACCTGTGTCCCCACCTGTTGTAACAGGTGCGGCGTATGGCAGAAGAGCACCGGACTGACAGCATGGGGACCCGCTCTCTAGTCCTGCGTTGTTGCCTGTTGGCTCTCTTACCCTGGGCAGTCTTCCTCTCCGGGCTTCTGATCCCTCACTGGCAAAGTCAAGGTTTGGCGTGGAAGGTATCTGAAGTCACGCCTGGTCCTGACAACCTGGCAGTGAGTGAGTGCATCTGCCCTGAACTTCCTGCCCGGGTGTGGATCTTTGTGCCTGTGTAGCCCCACACAGCACACAAAGCATCCGTGGGAGTGTGCCTAGAAGAAGGGCACTCCATACCTGCTTGTAACAGGCAATTTTAAGAGTCTGTCCAGCTCACAGGGGTCTATTTAAGTACCTTGGCCAGTCATAGCAGTAATCTGGCAAATATTTTGTGCATGAAGTAGGAAGTATTGAGAAACCCAGTTAACCTAAACGAATAGGTGACAAAATAAGGAGTTTTGTTACTGACAGTAATGTAATTTAATTCAATGAACTCCTTCTTAGTGAATGCCAAGAGTCCCATAGTGGTGTATGATCAAAAGTTATTTTTAATCTTCCATCGTCTGCCAATTTGAAAATATCCTCCCTTCATTTTGTTTAAAGATTTCCATCTGACTTCAAAATGTTTTTTATATATATGTAGTCATTAAAGTCATTTGCCTTTTCAACTGCTATTTTTGAAATTATCTCTTTGTATCCTGGAAGTTTGTATGCTGGTGAAATGCCTTATCCTAAGATACAGGATGGGTTAGAAGCACGCATTTCTTTTCCAAAGTGGGAGGAGGGAAGTTGTGATAGGGAAGATGGGAAAGGAGTGCAGCGCTCCCCATGGTAACTTTGCAAGGGTACTGGTTTTATGGAAGAGCAGATATGGTTCTGGAAATTGGTTCCCTTAAGCATATGAACTCTTTGAAATGTCTTCACTTGTCCTCACAGATACACAACCCCAGTTGGAAGACTGTGGCCTTAGAAGAACTAGTCAGTTAGGATACTGCCTTCTGCCTGCTGCCTCTCCTTCCTCCCAGAGCTGGTCTTGTGATTACGTGATTGTGGGAGAATTCAATGGACCACCCCATGCCCTTTACAGACCGACCTCTGTTTATTGTAAAGGTCAAAACATGCAACACTGGAAGTCAGGGTCCTGGTGGGTGTGGTGGAATTCTATCACATGATTCAGCCTTGAAGCCTTTAAGCTAGCAAAGTCAACTTCCTGCTCTGTAGCCCAGTTTCTCCACCCAGGTGCCCCAGATATTTTTCGTATTTACTCTAAGAAAGTTAGAACAGGAAGAGTTCCTTTTGCTGTTCTAACCTTCTTAGTTTAGGGTTTTACTTTTGTCCCAATCCGAATGTCCACAAGCCTCTGATACACCATGAATATTAATATTTTCATTTTTCTCTCATAGGATGATCGCCCATTTCCCTAGACACACAACCACACACACACACGGTCACATCCAGCATTGTATGTAGGCTGAGCGCCTTGATCCTGCTTTCCAGTAAATGAGGTTTCTTGTGTTCCTCCCCAACTTCCCCTCTATCTTTCATGGTCTGACAGACAGTGTTCCCTCCTAATCTTCTTCTCCTCCCGTCCCCGTTCTCAGAAGACCGAGTCTTTCAGAGGCACATCCACCAATAATTCTCAACTGTGGTGACCTTGACCAACAGCCTTGCAGAAGTACTCTGAGGTTCTCAGATAGTGAAGTACCTCCAGATTTTCCCCATAAATCCTGCAGAGCCATCCCTCAGCCCTTCTAGCCAGTCTTCCCTTAGGCAACTTAATTCCCTTTTGTTTGCTGTTGTAATCTGGCAGTTGAATTTTCCTCACACAGATGTATTTAGAATTGTTTAACAGGGCTTTGTCAATATTTCCAAGTCTTTCCCCCACTGGGTTGTTTGGTTTCCCTATCACACTGTAACTTCTGAAAGCAGAGGCCATTCCAAGTTTTGTATCAACAGAATAGCAAATATTTGAACAACTGCTGTTACCCAAAAGTGTTTGAACAATTGTGGTTGTTCAAAAGTATTGAAACAATTACAGTTGTTCAAAATATTTAGGTGACTACTATTCAAAGTAGCATAAAGCATGGCTTCAGCCATGTAGGATCTTGAAACTGTGCTGAGAGACAAACTCACTCCCGTAACACAGGAGTGAAGTTGGGTGGTGCCACTCTGCAGTGGTCCCCACTGGAGGGAACTTGAGAGGGCTTCAGAAGAGGAGGAATGGGGCTGAGCCTTGAAAAATGAGGAAGGTGGGGTTCTGCACAGGAGATGGGGAAGTGCAACAGCCAGGAAGTGGGAATTAATCTCCTCCGTAAAGATTTACTGGGCAAAAAGTGCATTGCAAAGAGTCGGGAAACCTGGTAGAGTTACTCAACATCTTTGAGCTTCAGTTTCCTTGGTTTCTGTGAGGAGGGAAGACAGTGTGTGTCCATGTACTTAGCACGCATGTGGAAACAGGGTAGACAGTTGATGTACATTACAAGTTAGATTATGAATATATAGTGGATGGGAAGCTGGAAAAAATTGCTCAGGACCCCTGAATGCAGCGGCATCTCAGGAAATGCTTAAAGGCTGACAGAGAAGGGATGGGGTGGGTGCAGATTTGGGGGGAGAGGAAGGATAAAAGAACAGGTGACCTCAGGTTTCTGCTCTAGCGCAATTTGGTAGAATTTCTGATAGACAAATACCAACCTTAGCAGATGGTGCTTCCCCGCCTGACACACCTCCAGTGGCGTCTCAAGATCCTGTCCACCAGGCACCTGGGGCGATTCTGAGACCCACTCTCACTTCAGCTTGTATGTTTCTGTTCTCCTCCCTCGGGCTGTTTCTAGGGTGGCCACACATCTAGATCTGACGACAAGGCATACAGCTCAGACAAACAGAATGTGGCACTGAGGACTGAAGATACGGATGTATCCTGGTCTTGCCAGAGTTTATAAGGCTAGCTCCATGCCCTCATGATCCCAGGGGGCTTTGGAGGCTCAGAACTCTGGGCAGGTCCTTGAAACACTCCTTCTACCCCATTTCCTCTTCTGGGATCCTGGAAGGTTGAGGTCTCAGAGAAGAAGATATTATCCCCTACAGATTTTAGTCACTTGCTTTGGTCTCGAGGCAGAGGGAGGTTAGGGTCTCCTTGAGGAATTGGAGCTTATGGTTCCATTCTTGCCAGCAGGGAGACAACAGGAGCAGGTAGGAGCCCTCCTCTCTCCTCCCTGGAATCTGAAGTCTGGTTGAAGAGAAGTCATCTTGCCCCCTTGAGAGCTTGCAGGACCCTGGAGGACAGTTTACCCAGCTTTTCTGACTAAAGGACCCAGGGGGCCTTTTCTGGACATTGATGACCTGTCGTGGCCTCTAAGACTGGTACGACAAGTCGGTGACACTAAGCTGCGTGGAGCATGGGTCTAGGGCTAGGTCAGGCTAGGGCTGGTTTCCTTGTCTTGTTGTTTGTGGGTCCCAGCTGTGGTGGAGCACTGAGAGGAGGCGGGGGCACATGGGGCAGGCATTCTGGAGCCTGACCCTCTCTGGGAAGCTCTCCTGGCTTCAGCCACCAGGGAATCATCTAAGGAGGTGCTGGGGGCCTTGTTAGTGGAATGGGTAGTTTATTTATGTTAGCAATTAAAAAATGTATTTTTAGAAATGAAGCTAACTTCTAAGCATAGGAAACACAGATGGGCTTAAGTTGGAAACAAGGGAATTTTTAACCAAGAGCCAAAACAGACAATGATCATCTCCCAGTTGTGGCCTTTTCCCTCCTTTTCACCCTTCTGACTGTCCTTTGTGGGTGGGGGGAAGGCTTCTTCCCTACCCATTTGACAGCTGACTCTGCTCTCCTGAGACTGCGTCACGCTGGGCTCAGCTGAGGCTGCTGGAGCGGGGGTGGTTGTGGTTCTGTGAAGCAGGATTGTTTGAGCTGGAGACAACTACAGCGCGTCTAGCCCAGTGGGCTCTCAGCTGAGAAGAGATGGTACAGCGGTGCTCTGAGTCAGGACTGGATTACCCAATGGGAAGACCAGGAGCATGCTTAGGGCACCAGCAAAGCAGAGGAATCAACGTTAAAAACAAGACATATCTGGACATTAAAAAAAGTAGCAGGAAATGATAGGATGTTGG